ACCTGCCCTTCGCCGACCCCCGCGAGCCGGGGAACCCGGAGAGCTCCGCTCAGGAAGACGCCTCGCAGCCGGGAAAGGACGCCCCCTGAGCCCCCGCGCCCCTTCCTTAGAGAGGACGAGGCTCCGGCGGAATAATAATATTAATAAGTTAAAAACACCCTTAACGTTTCTAAGGGAGGAAGCGTACTAGATGCACGACAGGCTTAAGAGAAAAAACAGGTGTTTTGTGTACATTTGGAGTTCCCGTTTTGCTCATCACTCTCACCACCTCACCCTCGCACACTAACATCCTTCCCCACCCCAGCTGCAAAGCGTCCTGAGCAACAGACACTGGCTCATTCTTTTTTCTTTAATCCTCCAGATGAGTTTTTGCCTCCTGTTAGGCCATGTTCCATCACCTTTTGAGATGTGGAGCCTAATTCTAGAGGAAGTCAGAAAAGTGGCCGGCTCTGGGTGAGCTCATCGGAAAGGCTCCCGCCTGGGACAGCAGGGACTGATGCTGACCGGAAGCAGCGGGCAGCGTTGCACAGAGCTGTGTCTCGGAGCTGCCCTGCCTGGTTTAGAAGGTGGGCCTCAATCAGATTTGAGGGTCTTGGAGAATTGATTTAGTCGTCACTATTTCATAATGGTCAGCTTTTTGGAAGGCATGTATTTTTCAGAGAAGTGAAGATGGAGTTGCCAAGTTGTGACCTATTCTGAAGTGATTGAAATGCTATCTTTCAGTAACTTGCACTTGTCTAAAGGGGATACGGAGTTGGGCCATCGCTAGAACCAAGTCAGGGAACGGAGGTGGATGAGGAAGGCCAAAATCGTCTTCCAACCTTTGCTCGCACTTTATGGAGAAACTGACCATAAATCAATTGACGTCTCAATTTCTTAGTCCACATATGTAATATCATTTATAGTATATATCTCAAGTGCATCTATCCCCATTCATTATTTAATCATGTTCCCAAATTTTTACAAACTTACTATAAAAAGTGCACTGAACTTAAAAAAAAAAAAAGGCCAAACTCATTTATCCTGTATTCTTGTTGGATCATAAAAGTGGAAGGAAACATTAAACTGGCCAGTTTTGATTGGGAAGCTGTACAGATACGAATGAAGGAAGCCCTGCGTGGCCTTCTGTTTCCAAGTCTTTGTATTTTCTGGAGACCAAACCAGATATCAGATAATCACAAAGAAAGCTTTTAAATAAGGCTTAAACCAAGACCTTGTCTAGATATTTTTAGTTTGTTGCCAAGGTAGCACTGTGAGAAATCTCGCTTGAATGTTACGTAAGGGGTGAGACACAACAGTCTATGAGTGAAGAAAATATCTGGGTCTTTGAGTCAGTGTGGTGCATTTGCTGCTGCTGTTGCTACTGTTTGCCTCAAACGCTGTGTTTAAACAACGTTAAACTCTTAGCCTACAAGGTGGCTTTTATGTACATAGTTGTTAATACATCCAATTAATGATGTCTGACATGCTATTTTTGTAGAGAGAAAATATGTGCTAATGATATTTTGAGTTAAAATATCTTTGGGGGAGGATTTGCTGAAACGTTGCACTTTTGTTACAATGCTTATGCTTGGTACAAGCTTATGCTGTCTTAAATTATTCAAAATAAATACTGTCTGCAAGAAACCAGCTGGTTTAGAAAAGTTTAGTATGTGAAGATAAAACTAGAAATTATCTTTATATTCTAGTATTTTCAGCACTCCATAAATTCTATTGCCTAAATATTGCCACCCTATTTTGTGATTTAAAAATTCTTACTAAGGAATAAAAACTTTATATATGATATGAGATTGTCTAATAATTAAACAATATAATGGCTGCTTAAAATATCTATGACTGTGAGGATGGAAGTTACCAAGATTCTCAGATACACACCTTGTCATTGGCCTGACAGCACACATTTCCAATTTCTTGCAAAGCCTCGAGGCTCTGGCTGTATCTGCCTGCTTGTTCCCAATGTATCTCAATGAAAAGTGCAAAAGAAAAACCTACCAATCACGTGTGGTTTGTTTCTGCTACATCCAATTCACTAATGCTTCCTGATTGATGAGGCTGTCACTTTTCTTCTGTGACATCAGGTAGTCTCTCTGTGCTCTTGGTGTTCTTCTTTTACTGGGGTCCTGCTTAAATATACTATGGTACCTATAAGTGTGCTGAATTTCTGTGAGTACATCGGCTTTCTAACTTTTACAAAATAATTATGTCCTGGGATTTTATCACAGAAGTCAAGAAACAATTTGTAAACTTTTCTCAAAGTTATAATCAAGTCACTGATTAGATAGAAACAGTGAAGCACTGTGGAGATTTTAATTTCAAGGGTGTTTTCAATTTTTGTAAGGTGTTTAAATGATAGAATTTATATGATGTAGAAAAAGTGCTCCCTCTGCTGACTTTGTGGCATACAAACTGCAATGACAGAGTATAGAGCAGGAAGGAGCCTCAGACATCAGCTGCTCAGTTCCCTGATTTTGTAAGAGGAGGAAAATAAGCTGAGTGACACTGGTACCTTCTCAAGGCCACACAGTTACAGGGAGTCTGTCCTGTTCTATTCTTCAGTGACCTCTTTCCACTGCAGCATCTCAGACCTAATATATGAATCAAATCAGGAAGCACAGATGAACCTCGATGAATAAACCATTGAAACAAAGGAAATAAAAATTAACCTTAGAAAACCCTCGGGTTTTTAAGCAGTGTTGATTTATTAAACTTTGCAAAAGTCTTTTATTCATCTAAACCAGAAAAAAAACCAAAAACATTTTAAAATATTTTGAGCTATGTTTTGTTGCCATTATTGTACAAGTTTTTTTAAAAAAAGATTCAAAGTAAATCAGAACATAATGAAATGTTTTAGCATTTGTGTAATTATGGTACAATAAAGTAGAAAACTTAAGGGTTGGATCAGATGGTATAGTTGAGTTATTTAGTCCAAAAAAAAGTTTATCTAGTAACGCTAATAAGCTGAAGTTAGAGAACAAATGCAAAGTAACATTGCATCTAAAATATTTTCATCAATTTATTTCAATGAATTGAAAGATTGTCACAAGTCATATGGAGGCTTTCTATATCTGCAGTGGTGAGATTTCAGCTAATTTAGATTGTATGATTTTTTTCCAATTTAAGACAAGTATGACTTAATGCTCTCATGAGAATAGAATGTTTCTAATTAATTTTAAGTGTTTAGTTTCTCAGCAAACTTTGTGTTGAATCGATACACGTCCTCCTCTCTCCTCAAAGACCTAAACTCTGAGTACATTTTCAAGGCACTAGAAATGACAGCTATGTAAATATGACTGGAGTTTTAGTTCCTTTCTTTATGAAACTACTTTTCATTTAGCTCTGTAACTGAGAATATGGGCCATAACTTTAGTTACTGCCTGTTACCTGGGCTCTGTTCAGAAGTTATGCAGGAGGACACTCCCCTGTGTCTGTCTATGTCATGGGTCAATTCTTGACCTCTTCATGAAGATAATTACCAGTGGAGACCTTGGGAAGAGATGGCTGGGTCATTTATGTGGGATAAAAGTGAGCAGAGTTCTCCTGAATGAATGAAAGCCATTGGATTGCCTAAAGCTGGCTGTACTGTTATGATAAAGATGTACTAACTTTAGATGGCAACTTGATATTTCTTATTTTTAGAAAAATCTTATTAATCGATTGGACCCTCAGATCAATATATTTAAGCCCACCCATTGTACTACATCATTTTAAATAAATTCAAAGTGGATTTGCAGTGCCTGCTGAAGTCCAATATAAGCTCCAGCTTTCCATGGAAGAATTTAAGAAGGGGATTGACATAGAACATTATCACATACTTTCTGTGATTAAAATAGGATTTATACTAAAAAAAAATGTGCAGTAGATGTACCTTTAAAATATGCTAGTAGAGGAGTTGTATATTTGTCCAAACATTGTATTTCTTGATCTTGTTTTGTGAAAACTCCTAACAAAATATATAAAATTATACTTTTTAAAATCTTACATTTTAAAATTCTAAATTGTGATACCTCCCCATAATAGTTCAGCAAACTGAAGCTTCTATATTCAAGTGCCAATGCTATTTTCCTTTTAAGAATTTTAGCA